ACGTGGCGCGAGAATTAATTGAATTACTATGCAATCTGTTGCGCAATGGAAAATTTTCGCGGGAAACAGTCGACTCAATTTATAGGAACAGTAATAATAATAATAAAAACATCAAAAATAAAAAACAATAATTACACAAATAACATCTAATAGTGTTTAATATTAATGTTGTGATAATGATGACGTTATCAAAACCATCATCATCATCATCATTATCATCATCATTATTATCATCATCATCATCATCATCATCGTCATCATCATTATCATCGTTATCATCATCATCATCATAATCATCATCATCATCATCATTATCATCATCATTATCATATCATTTTCTACATTTTTTTGAATGTTAAACAATTTTTTTAAGATACGTGTTGTGTTCAAATCTAGCATCTTGCGCGCGTCTTATTATGAAGTAGTTGTAGATAACTGCATAGAGACTACGCATGTTGAATGCGCAAATGTATAAATGCGAAAACTCATCCAAGTGAGCCCTTATTTAGGTTCGAAGTACTCGAAAAACTGTTGAAACCAATGAAAAAGGCAAGTTAGAACTTTTGAGAAGGTAGGCGGGAACTTCGAGAAATCATAGCGTGATGTGATTGGTGGATATCCAAGTATAAACTTCGGTAAGATATAGACATTTTTCATGGTTTTCGAATGAAAATGTTAAAAAATTAAAATTAACAAATTATAAATGTTAAAAAACCTAATCCTGATTTTAAAAATGTCAACAATATTTGAAGAAAAAAAGCAACGAATGCAATCTAAATGTTGCCCTAAAAATAAAATGCGTTTGATGTAGTTAAAAATAACATTTCAGATTATACACAACTATATCTGTAAAGCACTGTTTCCTAAAAAATCATCTAGGCATATAAGTACATTAAAGTAGAAAAAATGGAGACAACAACAACAACAACTACTACTACTACTACACAATTCATTGAAAAAGAAGTTGGATACCTTGTAATTTTCATCAAACAAAAGAAATCTTAGGTAAATAGAATCATAGCCAGACGTAAGAGATAATAACAAAAGAGCCAGCCGGCATGGAAACATAAATGGTGATGGCTTGGTGAATACGGTGACGGTGTAATTATGATGATGGTGGCATGGTGATGGTGATTATGATGATGTTGTAGTCATTATCATGATGAAGATAGTGTAGTAAATGTGATGATAGTGTAGTCATTATGATGATGGTGTAGTTAGGATGATGGTGATGATGATGGTGTGGAGATGATGATGATGGTTTGGGGGGAAGCGGATTAATGTAATATATGTATTGTAGACTGTCTGTTTACTTTAACTATCCCATCATCATGATTTATCTTTCTCGTCGTCGTCATCATCATAATCGGCATCTTCATTCTCCTCGTCTTCATCTTTGTCATCGTCATCATCTTCATCCGATTCAAAAATTTATTTAGTAAAATCTGACGTCACATTTATTTTCATAAATTGGAGAGATGCGCGGTTTTTGTCAGGCACACAGACACGTTTCAAATTAAAAAATAAGATTTCGGCTTCACAAGAATCACACTCTCTATTCTTTCTGTCTTGCACTCTGCCTCTCTTTTTTTTCTTTTTCTCTCTTTTTTACTC